CCCCAAAACCCCAAAACCCCAAAACCCCAAAACCCCAAAACCCCATTCTTAATAAAAACTTCGTAAAAATGAATTATTCATATAAGGACTTAAAGTTAACAAATTGTAACGACTACTGGATCCTTTATATCTCTGAATAGGGCATAGAAAATCCTGTTCAATATATTACTAGAGAGTCTAATACCCCTAAAATAATTTTTGGACTCAGTACATATACTCAATATTCCTTCAGTAATGCTATCACCAAGATGTGCAAGAGGTCATTAAACATTTTTAGGATCAAATTATGTTGAACTTTTACAAAATGAGCTGTATCTCTCAGTTGCTTTATTTATCAAATCATGCAATACTATACGGATGTCTGCCATCCCATCCTGTACATTTAGACCATTTCTTCTGCATCATGTCCTTTAGTGTTGGTTTATTTCCTTAGTGAAGATCTCTTGCTAAACAGTCTTTTTCTTGAAGATTTCATTAGCTTGTTAACGCCATAGCCTAAATAGGGTTTATTTACACCAAGTGGCATTAGTTAAGGTTCCTCTCCAATCCAAAGGAGTCAGAGACTTTAAGAGACCAGGAGATTCATAAGAGCTCCAGTGGGAAATTAAACATCAATACAGGATTTTGTACATACCTCTGTTCTCGAAGTTCGGACTAGATGGGCTTCTGGTGTAGAAATCCAACTTCTTTCTCTTTGATGGTGATGGGCTGAAGCATCCCCTGCTTTGGCTATATTCATTACTTTACAATCTGATTGAAAGTTTAAATAGACATGTTAGGTCAGTAATTTGCGATTTTGATTAATAACTTGAAATTAATCAACAAGTTATGTTAAAATTGGAGTGGTAAAACCAGCTCAGATTTAGACCCCAGAACCTTAAGAAAAGTATCAAGGTGAGGAGAAGAAGCTTAAGTAGCCTATTTTATTGATTTTAGCTTGAAACAGATGAAATCCTTAAATTTTGCAAAGGATAAAATTTATTTTGAAACGAATCAAATCATAATTATATCTTTGAAGAAACTTACCGTAAGATCATTGGAGATAGCTTGCTCACACTCTTGATCTTTCTCTGCATTGCTATAAAATTTTAGAAATATACCACAAAGGGTTCTTGTATACAAAGCCTCTCAGTGAGCAAGGAATTAGGCTGAAAACACGTCCGAAGTTACAACATCCAGAATTTAAGATTTTAGAATAATTTCATCAGCTAAAGGAATGTAGAGGATTTATTATTTTATGTTTCTGAACCATCGGTATATATGTAGAACATAAATTGGCTATCTGTTATTCCTTTGATAAAATATGGGGCATTATGAAAATCTATTTCCATGAATATATTTTGTGTGAATTAATAATTCCAAACCTAATATTACTTCTAATACTTAAAATATAAGAAATAGTGTTACTAGCATAAAGAAGAGCTTTTATTTATAGCTTTTAAGGTTCAGCTTAAGCTGAATTAGGGATTGATTGCTTGATAAGTTTACAAAATTTCATTAATCTTCTCCTAAGCCAATATGACTCACACTTCAAGCCAATGTCTCAAGTCTTAATAGCCTTAGCTAAATGGCAAAGCTCTGAGTCCTTTGTGCTATTCATCTGGCTTGCTTTTGGAATTATATTATAAGAGTGTTTCGTCTTCTTCAATTTCTGTTGCCTCTTTGGAGATATAGACTTTATCAGTTGAGAGGAGTGATCTATGTCCTCTAAACCATCGAAATCAATACTGGAAAACAAATTTGGTTCTTTCCAGAGCCCCAGTTTTGCCTCATCTGGTCTAAACCACACTACTCTCTGAGGTTTGTCCATATTACCCTTAATTTCTTGAAATCTTTGTTTTAGTTTACCAATATCAAAATTCCCTTTTTTGAAATACTTTCTATTATACTTCTTCATCCTAATCCTTTCAAATTTTCGCTGGACTTCCATCCCTGTATGTTAATTAATATTTTAAACCAGAGTTTAAGAAATTGGGGTTTTGGGGTTTTGGGGTTTTGGGGTTTTGGGG